AAAAAAAAAAGAATTCCATTATGATCTTAACAGGAGATTAGAGCATTAGAGAATTAAAGCATAAGTGACATATAAAACTGTGAAAAATAACATTTATATAATTTTAATCTTAGAAAAAGGAAAGTTTCAGAATATTTGAAATGATAGTCGTTGAAAAATTTCCAAATTGATGAAAGACACTAAGCTATCCTGAACACTGACTTAAAACAAAAATAATGAGAATGTTCAAAGTCTATCAAAAAAGTATGTATGTGTGTATTTCAAGTGGTGGGGTTAATGCACTGCATATTTATCAACTATAGTGGTAGTAGGTTACTAGATAATTTCTAAAACTAAAATAATCAAGAAATAGTGTGCAGAACATTATTCAGGAGTATGAGGTTAAATATCAAAACTAAAGGCAGTAAGTGGTATTGTGGAGATCCCAACTTCCTTCTATAGGGCATACTGTCGGGGGGTAGGGGAAAAAATCCTGTTGTGTTAACTGGTGCTTGTGACTTCAGATAGAATTTTAATGACAACATCAGGCACACAAACTCGGAAAGGAAAATTTTGTTAGATAATTCACAAAATGGTTTTAATGCTGAGAAAGACACAGATGCCCAGAATCCATGTAAATACTGTAAAATATCTGATGAACTCTGACGGTGGAAGAAAGAAAAGCAGTGTTTCAAAATTAATTTAACATAATTTTCAATATGAAACATATAACTAAATTAATTAAGCATTAATTATGGACATCTGACACTCATGTATGTCATGAAAACATATTTTCCACTTAGAAAAAATGTAAAGGGAATTTCACAACGGGAGAATTAAGGGTTCTTTCTGAATACATGGTTCCTTATACATGTGCAGTATGATGGTATTTAAAAATTAAAAGATTAAAAGCAGAAATTCAAGTAAAACTGAGTGTAGTACAGCAACAGAACCAAATATTCACAGGAATTTAGTGCACGATATAGGGGGCATTTCAAATTAGTGAGAATGAGATGAATAATTCAATTAATGACATTGTGCCAACTTGAAAAATAAATCTCTGCCTTACTTTTTATAAATTATACATTTAATGTAAAAATTTAATGTAAAAATCTAATGTAAATTAAATTTAACATAAAAATTTAATGTAATTTCAGCCCTATCATGATAGAAAAACCACAAAAATCAAGTCTAAGCTTACCAGAAACTTAACTGTGAAGGACAAAACAAATCTTATAAGAAAAAGAGGACTTAAAGATAGACAAAAATTTCACAAACAGGACACAAAATACCATTAACATTGAAGGGAAGAAAGTATTTATATACAAAGGCATAACATGGCTCTAAAAGAAATAGAAGTTGAGAATAACTTCTTAAAAGAACTGGGAGGTAAGAGTGAAATTTGTTTTTGAATTTTGTACCATGTGAACATGTCACCTATTTAAATTTACAAAATCTGCAAAAATTAAGTAGAACAAGATTCTTCAAGTGAACAAATGAGTTTGGAAATTCATACTTAAAATGTAAAGAAAAATTTTAAAAGAATTTATCTTAAAGACATAATCAGAGATTTGGACAAAAAGTCAGCTAGAGGAATAATTCCTGAGGTATTCTATGTATAGAAGAGGCACTGGATACACGTTTAACCTGGAATCCAACTCACTAGTACTAAGATGTCCATATATATATTCCATACAACATAAATCAAGTCTTTTCACAAGGGTCAACACTAAATTTAAAATGTACACAAGGTGGGAAGAGGAACCTCAGAAGGGCCTCCATGACTTTTTATACACAGCTATTACTTGATAATTAGGTAATTAAAGACAGTGACCCCTGAGAGAAGTGGGAACTAGGCTCTTGGACTTTTAATCAGGGAATTTTCCATTACATATAAGTCCTAAACAGAAAGACTGCCTTTCATGAAGAGAAAGAAAATTTCAACTAACCTGGGATATGACTTTTAATACTTCAACATTCATTTTTGCCTTCTCTTCTGGTCTCTCTCTTGAAGAAGAGTGTCTTGGGAGGGCAAGGCTGAAGGAAGGGAAAGGTTAGTGAGAGATGAAAGGGTGCAGCATTTCCAGAATCACTAGCCTAAAACTGTCTTCTTCTTCCCAGCCTTGGTTGGTCCATTTTCACATAACTGGGTATGAGCAACCTACGGCCACTGAAGAGCTATAACTTATATAACTTTTTTTTTTTCATGCTTGAGGTCCTAAATTTAATCTTTTTCCAAGAGCTACCTTCCCATTCTTTGATCTCATTATGAATAAAAATAGATGTATTAAGTACTCTGCATGGATTATATTCTCTCACTTTATTTTGAAATAATCCTACAAAATAGTTATTGCCTCTAATTCACAGGTAAAGGTGAAGTCGTTCTCTTCTTGGGTCTCTGCTTCATGCTTTGAAAGTCTACTGTTCGAAAATCTAACTCCTTTTTGAGCCAGATGGATGGGTTTTTGGGGGAAAAAAAAGAAAAAGAAAATAAGACTCCCAAATGCCTTCAGAGGCCAGAGTTATCCTCCATCTTCACTCAACCCCCCATTGCCCTCCCCCCGCAATGTTTCACTTTCCTCACCCTGAAACAATGGAACCTTTAGCACTCAGTTCTGCCACTTTCACTCTCACCTCTGTCCCAGCCCCTTTATTACACTCCTGTCACACATAATTGAGGATGTCTCTTGCTTCAGTTAGGAGCTTCAGTAACCCCAGCTTTTGTTT